GATCACTTGGTGAATATTGTCACTGGATCTGGACCGGATCACTTGGTGAATATTGTCTGGGAAGAATCAAAGTATATGCTGCTGATTCTCATCTCTCAGGAAGAAAATAAATCATCTAAAGTTGTGAACTGTTTGAAGATTGATGGAGGAAACGTGAAGAGAAGAAAATCACCGTCAGGCGAGTGGTGTGAAGCAGAAAAGCTTCAGAGCTTTTAAAGTCGGTTTTCAGAATTTGATCAAAGTTTAGATGAAAGCAGAAATTAGAAAATCTTCATGAAGTTGATCTATAGATGAACTGATGTTTGGAACATGGTTAAATGTCAGGGAGGAATCAGAAAAGAATGGCAGTATCTATAATTACAGACGTTTCTGCAGAATTAATAAAGCTCTGATTGAAATCCACAGTTCTGACCACCCAGTGACCCGGTTACCCCCCTCCAGATAAGTCACTGCAAAGAATCCAGACTCCTCATCCATCCGTCAAAACAGATTCCTTACAATTACCAAGCATTGTGCACGCCAGATGAATGCTGACGGCCAAACAAAGAGCGTCTTATCCCAGAACAGAAGTCCAGATTTCTTTTTTTTTAAACAAAGTTCTTCGTTTCTTGTTTTTGTCGGAGTCTCGTTTGTACGGAGAGCATGAACGCACGGATCTGTGGAGTCTGAAACAAAGGAGGAAGTCTGTCCATGGACCACAGAACTTTGAGGGGAAGAGAACAAAACCAGATCCAACAAGACCTGAACTCAGATCCAACAGGACCTGGATTCAGGTCCAGCAGGACAGGGACTCAGATCCAGCAGGACAGGTAGAAACAGGTACACGATAAGGATGAAGAGACTTGAAGCCAAAATGAGCAGAAGGAATTCTCCTTTGGACCTTTGGGCGATCAACAAGGGGAGCGCAGCAGTTCTGAAAAGAACTGATCAGCTGAGAGCATCATGTCTGTGAGTTTTTGTTCCACATCAAATGAACAGACTTCCATTCATTTAATCTGTCAGATAATCTGAACCAGTCGTAGATTACGGTGTTTCATTAAGGGTTGATGTTGCTCAGGTTTAACAGAGATAATTCACAAGTTTCTGGGTTTCTTGATCCTGAGTGATGGATCCACGGCTCTGGGCCTCGTCCTCAGTAATGAGGACGTTGCTTCGGTCAGTCGTGGTACCAGAACCCTGACGATCTGCACAAATCGCTGAATGACCCATGGTTGTGTCAGATTATGATTGAGCTGAGGTGGGGTCATACAGAGTGACAGATTAACCAACTGAGGTGGAGTTCTGGTTCTGGTCTCTGTGTGGACTGAGTGACATGCTGGAGCAGACCGGACCAGAGCAGGACTCAGTGGACTTTGTGTCTCGTTTTTAAATGATTTCATGTGAAAATAAAAAGATAATTTTGTTTGTTTCTCAAATCTGCCTGCTTTATTTTGGTGACCTTGGTGGGTCAGGTGATCTGTGGGAACTTGGTGGGTCTAGTGGTCTGTGGAACCTTGGTGGATTCAGTGGTCTGTGGGACCTTGGTAGGTCCGGCGTTCTGTGGGACCTTGGTGGGTTCAGTGGTCTGTGGGACTTTGGTGGGTCAGGTGATCTGTAGGAATTTGGTGGGTCTGGTGGTCTGTGGGACCTTGGTGGGTTCAGTGGTCTGTGGGACCTTGTTGGGTTCTGTGGTCTGTGGGACCTTGGTGGGTCTGGTGTTCTGTGGGACCTTGATGAATCTGGTGATCTGTGGGACCTTGGTGGTTCAGGTGATCTGTGGGAACTTGGTGGGTCTGGTGCTCTGTGGGACCTTGGTGGGTCTGGTGATTTGTGGGACATTGGTGTGTCTGGTGTTCTGTGTGACATTGGTGGGTCTGGTGTTCTATGGGACCTTGGTGAGTCAGGAGTTTTGTGGGACCTTGGTGGGGCAGGTGATCTGTGGAACCTTGGTGGGTTCTGTGATCCGTGGGACCTTGGTGGGTCTGGTGTTCTGTGGGACATTGGTGGGTCTGGTGTTCTGTGGGACCTTGGTGAGTCAGGTGCTCTGTGGGACCTTAGTGGGATCTGTGGGATGGGACCTTGGTGGGTCCAGTGTTCTGTGGGACCTTAGTGGGTCTGGTGTTCTGTGGGACCTTGGTGGGTCCAGTGTTCTGTGTGACATTGGTGGATCTGGTGTTCTGTGGGACATTGGTGTGTCTGGTGTTCTGTGTGACATTGGTGGGTCCGGTGTTCTGTGGGACCTTGGTGAGTCAGGTGTTTTGTGGGACCTTGGTGGGTCAGGTGATCTTTGGAACCTTGCTGGGTCTGGTGATCTGTGGGACCTTGGTGGGTCAGGTTATCTGTGGAACCTTGCTGGGTCTGGTGATCTGAGGGAACTTGGTGGTTCAGGTTATCTGTGGAACCTTGCTGGGTCTGGTGATCTGTGGGACCTTGGTGGGTCAGGTGATCTGTGGGACCTTGCTGGGTCTGGTGATCTGAGGGAACTTGGTGGTTCAGGTGATCTGTGGGAACTTGGTGTGTCTGATGATTTGTGGGACCTTGGTGGGTCTGGTGGAATGAGCAGAGGTTTTGAAGAGGGTAGTTTTGTTCTGAAATCCAAACGTCTGGTCGATCCCTCTGACTGAAACAGTCTTGGTTTTCTTGTTGAAGGCAGTCTTTAGTTTTCTCTTGTCTACTTCCCTGCTTTTTGTTTGATTTGACTAACAGACTTGTGGATTAAAAGTGTTGTATTTCCCGTACTTCTTGTTTTTACACCTTCACAGGAAGCGGTTACGGGGCAGTGCAGACGCCTGGGAGTTTCTCCGCCATGCCAATATGTCGCCTCTGCTGCCCCCTGTTGGTGCAGAGGTGTTCAGACGCTTCACGCCAGCCTCTCTAGAAGAAATCCAGCGAAGACAAGCAGCCAAGCAGCATGAAGCCGAACAACCGAAGCCAGAACAGAAGAAAGCGGAGCGCAGTGAGGTACAGACGAGTTGATCGGTTTATGATTAAAACATGATCGTGGACTGGTTTGATTGGTTTCTCTCTGGCAGGAAGCAGAAGAAAATCTTCCTCAACCTGCCAGTGATCTGGAGGCTGGGAAGCCCCTCCCCTTCATCTTTGGAGACCCGCCTCCTGAGCTTCTCAACACCCCATTGGAGGAGCTGGATCCCTTCTACCAATCACAGAAGGTTCTCCTTTAACACAACACTTTTCTCAGATTACACACAGTCCTCTGTAAACTAGAATATAATTTCCTGATGCGTGTTCAATAATCCAGGTAGAACAAACTAACAGTTAGACCTGATTTCACTTTGTTAGATTAGTTATAATAGTTTAATTGAGGTAATTAAATTTATGCATAATCTATTTACTTATTAGAAGTGAAAGAGTCTCTCAGGAAATATACAAATAAATAAGGAGATGAACGTTTTGATTCTTTAATTGTTGGAATAGAGTTAAAACTGTGGAACGAGGAAAGAAAAGCGGATTTCAGTCGTGAGAAAGATTTAGAAACTTTCACTCCAAGAGAAGAAAGTCGTCTCTAACGCTTCAGTTGTCTCTTTTCTCTCTGCAGACTTTCATCGTGCTCAGTAAGGGAAACATCATCTACAGGTTCAACGCTGAGCCGGCGTGTTACCTGCTCAGTCCGTTCAACCCTCTAAGGACGTTCTCTATCAAGATCCTCATCCATTCATATCCTTAAAGGTTTCACTCTGTCACTTCGGCTTATCTTTCTGATTTCCTGAATCCATAAAGTCGAGAAACTGAAGCTCGTCTTGGAAGCTCCTGGTTTATTTTTATCCTTTGGGCAGCCTTGGAGTCGACTCTGCTGGAAAATGCAATCCAGGGAGCGTGAACCTTCTTCGTCAGAGCTGGAGTTGGACAACATGACGATCCAGATGTTAGAACACCAGCTAGTGCTGCATCTGTTCTTACATGAACCAGCGTGTGTGCAGTAGCTCGATGCTCAGTGCCACAGCCTTGTAATCCTGAGGTTGCAGGTTTGAACCCAGGTTACGTCAGGAAGAGCATTCGGCATGAAACATTCGCCAGATCTTTCATGCAAGTTCGCTGGCTGTGGCGACCCCTGAAAAAGGGAACAGCCGAAACGTACCTGTTGTCACGTAATAACTCCAAATGATAGCATTTAGAAAAACATCTCTGATCTTGTAACTTCAGACGTGAGGCAGGACAACGTTCTGACTCAGTTTGTAAAGCTCTGAGAAGTCCAGACCAAAGCAGGCAGAACCAGGAGCACATGGGGGAATTTTACTGACATAAGTCGAGAGCACACATTTTCAGTTTGAAAGCAGGAATTCATGTCTTTGTTCTCAAAACTTGTAATGCTTGCACTCAGAACTTCTGCTCTCTCTCAGATATTCTCAGTGCTTTCTCAAATCTTTGTGTTCGCGCTCAGATTTTCGCGCGCAAAACTTCTTTGCACGGATCAAATCTGCTCTCGTAAACCTCTCTGCTCGCTTGAGAATTCTTTTCTGCTCTCTCGCGGAACAAAGAGTACCGTCGCCTGGCAACCGTCCCAACCAATAGAATGAAAGTGTTTTACTGGGCGGTGGGAGACTCCTCTATGGTGCGTTTGTTTCCTTCTAGTGGGTGTGCCTGTGTGGCTATCGATTGTAGCACCTGCTCTTTCTGCGCCGCCCACTGTATGTAGAGAGAAACAACCTCAGCTTTCTGCTCCGTGTTACAATTTAAAGACAAGGATTTTGCCCATATAGGCTGCAATCTATAGCTTTGCATTGACTTACATGACAGACAGCAAGTCTGTGTTCTCTTCCTCACTAAATATCCACCAGCAGTGCGCTACTGATCGCTAACAGCCTACTAGTAGCCACACAGGCACACCCACTAGAAGGAAACAAACGCACCCTAGAGGAGTCTCCCACCACCTCCCAGTATAACACTTTCATTCTAGTGGATAGGACGGTTGCCAGACGACAGTATTCCTTGTTCTGCAAGAGAGCAAAAAAGAATTTGGAAGCGAGCAGAGATTTGATCCGAGCAGAGGGAAGTTCTGCGCGCGAGCAGAAAATCTGAGCGTGAACACAACGATTTGAGAGAGCACAGAAAATATTTGAAAGAGAGCAGAAGTTCTGAGTGCAAGCATTACAAGTTTTGAGAACAAAGAGATGAATTCCTGCTTTCAAACTGAAAATGTGTGCTCTTCGACATGTGTCAGTAAAATTCCCCCATAGAAGCAGCTGGTTGATTGACAGTCAGCGGTTTGTTTGTCGTTCCTTAAAACTAAAACTTTATTCAGTTTGTTCATCATGCTGACCATTCTGACCAACTGTGTGTTCATGACGATGAGCAATCCTCCTGCATGGAGCAAGACTGTCGAGTGAGTCCACACACACATGCACATGCACAGCATCTTTAGCCAAGGCAGACTTCTCCCCATCCTGATCCTGGTTCTGCTGGAGGCTTCTTCCTGTTTAAAGGGAGATGTTTCTTTCCACTGTTTCCAAAGTGCTGCTCAGATGCAATCTGTTGGCTTCCCTTCAGATAACTAACTGTTTTATAACAGTAAGTACATAATACAGCTGGGTATCTACCTGAGTTTGATCTGGTTGCTGGTACTTACAGGGACCGAGCTGTATTTTGAACTTGTTGCCTTGTACTGGGTATTTATGAGAACCAACAGTGCGAGGCCATTTAGGCATTGATAAGTAAAGAGGAGAATTTTGTGGTGCACAGGAAGCCAGCAGGACAAGACGGTAAAACATCTTCAGATCTACATACGAGTTCCAGTTAAAAGATGAGCTGCAGCATTTTGGACATGCTGGGGACCTGAAACAGAGAGCTGATTGACCCGAACATAAACAATAAAGTCGGGTTGTGATAAAGGCGTGGATTATTTTCTCTAGATCAGGTGTTGTTAACTGACTTGAGTCTTCCTACCTGCCTTAACTGGAAGAAGCTCCTGCAGAACTGAGTTAATCAGCTTATTATCCCCTGTCATGGAGCAAAGATGGGGAATTGAAAATATCCTCTGTCCGTCTGTCCATCTGTCCGTCTGTCAATCTGTCCGTCTGTCCGTCTGTCCGTGCATGGTGTGAGTGGGATTACTTGAAAGCTATCTGAGGTACTGACTTCCATTTTGATGTGGCTACATCTAGAGGTAAGAAAGGTTCATTTTGAAAAGTAGGTTGCCACATCGAAATTCAAGATGGCCTCTGCCATAAATGTATATATATGGGGCGGCTGTGGCTGAGTGGTTAGAGCAGTCGGCCTCCAATGCAAGAGTTGGGGGTTAGAATCCACCAGCAGTCACATGCCGAAGTGTTCCTGGGAAAGACACTGAACCCCTCATTGCCTCCGATGTGTGTCCCATCGGTGTATGAATGTGATAAAGCATTGATTAGTCTCTTTAGAATGATTTGTTCAATTAGATTTGTAGAGATATAATAGAGTGCTGTATTAATGGGTAAATAAGGACACAGATTGTAGAGTAAAGCGCAAGCAACATTCTGACTTCTGTCTTAGTGTGTGGCTGCATCTAGGTGTAAAAATGGTCCCTATCAAAAAGCCTGGTCAAACTCCAAGATGGCCACCACACCATGTATATACAAACTGACTACCCCATCGTGTAAGCAAACTATTTTTTCTAGTTTTTATTTTGCTGAAAAGTTTACTCTCCTCAGATGATTTGGGTGGCTCTTGACATTCCCAAAGATTAATCTATGGAGGCCAAGGCCACCACTGGCCACCCCTTGGCTCCACCATTGCACCTGGTGGTGGATAAAATTGATCCCTCCACTCTCCAGGACCCGTCACGCTGCTCTGCCTCGGACTAGAAAAAGAAAATATCTTTGTTCTTCTACAGTGTAATGTCAACCAACATGAACCCCAAACTGTACCTACATTCCCTGTTTAATTCCAGCCCAGAAAACCTTGAAAACTACAAATATTCACTATTCAAACCCCTCAGCAGTGGGGGCATCCTCATGCCGCTTGTTAAACTAAATCAAAGTCTAAAATTATACTCAGATTCTCTAAAATTATACTCAGGATCTGCTTAAGACCCGGGTCCAGAGAACCAAGGTTTGCAGGATGTTAGCAGCAGAGCTGGGGCTGAACACCACATGTTATCATTTCATCAGTTTTCTATCAATAAAGCTTAAAAATGTGAAGCCATCTAAACCGTAAAGTTAACAAGACTTTTTAATAGAGGGTGGATGGAGCGAGAATTATTATTTGGTTTTCAGGGTAGATAAATGTGGCAGTCGTCAGCATAACAACGAACAAACAACAAACACACCAAAGATCATCCACTCTGAGTCTTCAGGTTTGTGAATAGATTCTCTGCATGTTTTCTTGATTTTTTAAAATTTTTATTCCCCATCTGTCGCTGAACAGATACGTCTTCACCGCCATCTACACATTTGAGGCAACCGTCAAAATTCTGGCCCGTGGATTCTGCGTAGGGGGGTTCACCTTCCTCAGAGACCCCTGGAACTGGCTGGACTTCATGGTCATCAGCATGGCGTAACGACAATGATTTAGTTTTTATGCGTAGTCACTGCATCTATTTTATTTTGTTTAATTAAACTGTCAACTTGGGTGAATTAAGTATTCTCTGAGGTCTTAGAGTCTCCCTTGTACAGATTAAAACAAGTTTGATGTCAGTTGCTAATTCATAATAAAGGTTAATCTAAAGGATAATGATGATGTCGATCAGGAATATTTGTCCCTGTTTCCAGATATTTGACGGAGTTTGTCGATTTGGGGAATGTTTCTGCGTTGAGGACGTTCAGAGTTCTTCGAGCCCTGAAAACCATCACAGTAATCCCCGGTCAGTTTGTGTGTTGCTGTTTGTGTTGCCTGGTTATGTTTTCTGGTGAAGTTATAAAAGGAGACATGCTGAGATCCATCCAACAACTTGGAGCCATGTTCACAAGAACGTCATTTAGCACAACAATTCTCCAACTGAAGCAGATTTTTTAAATATCAGAGAACGGAGGCTGCGTCACTTCAAACGAAACACCAAGTATCCGACCTGAGTACTTACACTTCCCTTGACTTCAGTTCAGCCGCACACTCGCTTCAGATCATCATGGATGATGGTTCTCTTGGCTTCTCCGTGTTAGCAAGATGCCGTGTGCTGCGAGGTCCCAAACTGTAGACCTTCATAGATCTAAAATAAAGACTCACGAGGCGTCAATCAAATTTCAACCTGACCATCAGTGGGCGAGCACAAGGAGGCAGAGACATAAACTGGGCCAAAGTAAGAGGGAGGACTCAGGAGAACAAGTACGGAGGAAGGCTGGAGACGACAACAAGAGAACGTGAGCGAGGTTTTTATGTCAGGAGTAATTACTGAGAGGAGACCGGCGAGTAAAACACAGAGTGTTACCAACGTGTCACCAAAGTTTGAGTGTTTCACCAACACAAGGCCATGATTTACCATTTCATCTGTATTTCACCAACATTTCACCAAAGCTGTCTTGACATTTCATTAACGTTTTACCAATGCAGCTGGTATCTCACCTTTGTAAATTTTGCAAATTTCATTGTACTCAGGTGCAATGACCATAAAGGTCTATTCTATTCTATTCTATTCTATTCTATTCTATTCTATTCTATTC